TAGCTGGCAAATGATTGACTCCCTACAGTACAGTGTTATGCATTGTTTGCAGCATTCTGCAAAATGATCCATGGTGACACTCCATCTGGGTATTCAGGAGCTCATATGTATGGAGGAAAGGTGGAGGATGCAGTGGTAAGTATTTACCTTTATGCTTTTGCTAATCATGATTTTGGGACTTTCTTAATTGAATGTTTAGGGGAATGTGTATTTAACGGTTAAGTTTACCTTTTAACAAAAAATAATAAATGCACATTTTTTTGCAGGTAAAACAAATGTGCATTTATTATTTTTTGTTTCTGGAGCCTCTAAAGCATTGCACCAGCGATCAACAGATCTGTGGTGCCATGAAGGTCTCCCTCTGACCTGTCAGTGTATTCGTTTTCTCATACATCCTGTACGGACAAGCAGATACTTACTGACAGAAAGGCTCAATGAACTACCAAAGTGCTGTGGAGCACCGTGGTAGTTCATTGAAAACTAAAAGCCGACAGCCGCAAAGAATACAGAATACTGTGAATGAGTGACATGGTCTTTTTTTTAATTTTGACAGCTAACGAGGAGAGGAAGATACCCTACTAGCTGTCTTAACGGGGATCGGGGAGGTGCAGGTGCCAGTCTATTTGCAACATGTTACATTTTACACCCTGTATATGGGTGTAATATGTAACATGTTACAAAAGGTGAACTTATCTTTTAACTCATTTCATAATATAGCAAAAATTAAATAAAAAATAATCACAAATAAATAAATGTCCGTGCAGAAAAATATATATATGATATTTCAAACAAAAGTCCTTATTCCCAATTCCCAAAAGGATTTTCAAAAAAATATTCCAAAATGTGCTTCCACCTGATCACCACGTGACAAAAATTATTGACCGCACTCACCAGATGGGGGTGAGTAATAAGCCTCATAGGATATAAGGGATCCTATAGCCCCTCCAAAGGAACTCAAATCTCCTTCTTCACCCTGCTTAGATATAGCAATCAACTCCACTCTACTTCTCCATGGAATCCTCAATGTGCAAGGAAAGAAAGGCTACATAGTGTAATACTGCCACTCAATACCATATAAATCCATAGAATAAGGACACACACATGTTTCAATAAAATAACAGGCCTTGTTTAATAGCCTCAAAGGCTCCAAGAAAACCAGTTTCCAAAATGTAAATATAGGGATCTCACGCTTTAAGAATCACTGTAGAGGATGACCAGCTTCCCACCTCTAAGATGGCCGCTTGAACCGCAAAAAAACGGCGTGCATTCCAAATACCGGAAGCGACGTTGGCCAAAATGACGGCGAACCAGAAGTGCATCAACGCATTTCTCCCCACCCACAGGGCGTTCTCAAGACACCGCCTTCAGTCTCCAGCCGTCTTTTATACCGCTAAGGGAGAGCCCATCATTTTGGCCAACGTCACTTCCGGTATTTGGAACGCACGCCAATTTTTGCGGTTCAAGCGGCCATCTTAGAGGTGGGAAGCTGGTCATCCTCTACAGTGATTCTTAAAGCATAAGATCCCTATATTTACAATTTGGAAACTGGTTTTCTTGGAGCCTTTGAGGCTATTAAACAAGGCCTGTTATTTTATTGAAACATGTGAGTGTCCTTATTCTATTGATTTATATGGTATTGAGTGGCAGTATTACACTATGTAGCCTTTCTTTCCTTGCACACTATTGAGGATTCCATGGAGAAGTAGAGTGGAGTCGATTGCTGTATCTAAGCAGGGTGAAGGCGATTTGAGTTCCTCCTGAGGGGCTATAGGATCCCTTATATCCTATGAGGCTTATTACTCACCCCCATCTGGTGAGTGCGGTCAATATTATTTGTCACGTGGTGATCAGGTGGAAGCACATTTTGGAATATTTTTTTGAAAATCCTTTTGGGAATTGGGAATAAGGACTTTTGTTTGAAATATCATCATATATATATTTTTCTGCACGGACATTTATTTATTTGTGATTATTTTTTATTTAATTTTTGCGCTGTTTTTTGTGTTATTTATTATTGGTGGTTTTTCACTGGTTCACAGCTGCATAATTGTACATTTTCTTTGATTGGCGCTGGGATTTTTTAGTTCATTTCATAATATGTACAATATTACATTCTGGCTTGTAATAATACAAATATGTGCTTCTTTGGTTTGGATGTACCGTATTTTTTGCTCCATAAGACACACCTGACCATAAGACACACCTAGGTTTTAGAGGAGAAAAAACAAGAAAAAAAATATTCTGAACCAATGGACTGCAGACATAGCACAGGAGATGACCAGAGACTGTGAACACAGTACAGGAGATGACCAGAGACTGCAGACAGTACAAGAGATGACCAGAGACTGCGGACACAGTACAGGAGATGACCAGAGACTGCGGACACAGTACAGGAGATGATCAGAGACTGCGGACACAGTACAGGAGATGACCAGAGACTGCGGACACAGTACAGGAGATGACCAGAGACTGCGGACACAGTACAGGAGATGACCAGAGACTGCGGACACAGTACAGGAGATGACCAGAGACTGCGGACACAGTACAGGAGATGACCAGAGACTGCGGACACAGTACAGGAGATGACCAGAGACTGCGGACACAGTACAGGAGATGACCAGAGACTGCGGACACAGTACAGGAGATGACCAGAGACTGCGGACACAGTACAGGAGATGACCAGAGACTGCGGACACAGTACAGGAGATGACCAGAGACTGCGGACACAGTACAGGAGATGACCAGAGACTGCGGACACAGTACAGGAGATGACCAGAGACTGCGGACACAGTACAGGAGATGACCAGAGACTGCGGACACAGTACAGGAGATGACCAGAGACTGCGGACACAGTACAGGAGATGACCAGAGACTGCGGACACAGTACAGGAGATGACCAGAGACTGTGGACACAGTACAGGAGATGACCAGAGACTGTGGACATAGTACAGGAGATGATCAGAGACTGCGGGCACAGTACAGGAGATGACCAATGACTGCAGATACAGTACAGGAGATGACCAATGACTGCAGATACAGTACATGACTGAGATACAGGATATATATAAAGACTTTTCTTTTAAATAAAACCATATAAATATCCCAAATCTCAAGACAAACCCAACTCGTATAAACAAATGTTCAATAAAGTCTCTTTTTTTCTTCTTTTCCACGAAAAAATTCTTTTTCTCAACACCCGCAAATTCTGATGCCCATATACCTCAAAAAGAAAAAAAACTTAACATAGTGTCATACCTTTTTGGTAATCAAAAACACACGTGCCCTTAACAGTGCACCATGCAATACTCGTGAAACACTCCAAAAATACACACAAAAAAAAAAAAAAAAAATAATACTCTCTATGTGAATATCAGCATATACACGTATATTTTAGATCTCTGTGTCACCAAATATATAACCAGTGAAACATACACATATCACATCCACTATGTGAATCTGTGAAACTTATAACACTGCAACTTTGTGACACCACACTTAATATATCAGTGGTCAACACACATCCCCAACCAAAAAGTGATCTCCAACTCATGTGCTAGATGGATAATTACCCTATATAACCAAAAACAGGGCTTGATACAAATCTCCTTAGCTGTAGAATTCCATCCAGTATTTAGATCCAATACAGTGATTTATCTTCCATTATTACAGTAAGAGTAAGGCAGCTCCTCCTCATCGAGATGTACACGCAAACAGACTAGGGAACACTGGCCACATGTTCCCACTTCCAAGATGGCCGCGATCGCACTTCCTGTCAACGTCGATGCGTCTGACGTCACGTGTTCCTGTCAGACGCATCAACATTGACAGGAAGTGCGATCGCGGCCATCTTGGAAGTGGGAACATGTGGCCAGTGTTCCCTAGTCTGTTTGCGTGTACATCTCGATGAGGAGGAGCTGCCTTACTCTAACTGTAATAATGGAAGATAAATCACTGTATTGGATCTAAATACTGGATGGAATTCTACAGCTAAGGAGATTTGTATCAAGCCCTGTTTTTGGTTATATAGGGTAATTATCCATCTAGCACATGAGTTGGAGATCACTTTTTGGTTGGGGATGTGTGTTGGACCACTGATATATTAAGTGTGGTGTCACAAAGTTGCAGTGTTATAAGTTTCACAGATTCACATAGTGGATGTGATATGTGTATGTTTCACTGGTTATATATTTGGTGACACAGAGATCTAAAATATATGTGTATATGCTGATATTCACATAGAGTATTATTTTTTTTTTTTTTTTTGTGTATTTTTGGAGTGTTTCACGAGTATTGCATGGTGCACTGTTAAGGGCACGTTTGTTTTTGATTACCAAAAAGGTATGACACTATGTTAAGTTTTTTTTCTTTTTGAGGTATATGGGCATCAGAATTTGCGGGTGTTGAGAAAAAGAATTTTTTCGTGGAAAAGAAGAAAAAAAGAGACTTTATTGAACATTTGTTTATACGAGTGGGGTTTGTCTTGAGATTTGGGATATTTATATGGTTTTATTTAAAAGAAGAAAAGTCTTTATATATCATTTTTAACCTTCAAGGGTGGAGGTGGACTACTTTTCGGGTATTTTTTTCGGTGTGTGCTTTGCATTTGAGAAATATATAAGTACAGGAGATGGACGAGAGACTGCGGACATAGTACAGGAGATGGACGAGAGACTGCGGACATAGTACAGGAGATGGACGAGAGACTGCGGACATAGTACAGGAGATGGGATGAGAGACTGCGGACATAGTACAGGAGATGACCAGAGACTGTGGACACAGTACAGGAGATGACCAGAGACTGTAGACCATACAGGGGATGACCAGAGACTGCGAACATAGTACAGGAGAAGGACCAGAGACTGCGGACATAGTACAGGAGAAGGACCAGAGACTGCGGATATGGTACAGGAGATGACCAAAGACTGCGGACACAGTACAGGAGAAGGACCAGAGACTGCGGACATAGTACAGGAGATGACCAGAGACTGCGGGCACAGTACAGGAAATGACAAGAGACTGTGGACATAGTACAGAAGATGACCAGAGACTTCGGACACAGTACAGGAGATGACCAGAGACTGCGGACAGTACAGGAGATGACCAGAGACTGCAGACACAGTATAGATGATCAGAGACTGCGGACAGTACAGGGGATGACCAGAGACTGCAGACAGTACAGGGGATGACCAGAGACTGCAGACAGTACAGGGGATGACCAGATACTGCAGACAGTACAGGGGATGACCAGATACTGCAGACAGTACAGGGGATGACCAGATACTGCAGACAGTACAGGGGATGACCAGATACTGCAGACAGTACAGGGGATGACCAGATACTGCAGACAGTACAGGGGATGACCAGAGACTGCGGACAGTACAGGGGATGAACAGAGACTGCGAACAGTACAGATGACCAGAGACTGCAGACAGTACAGGGGATGACCAGAGACTGCAGACAGTACAGGGCATGACCAGATACTGCAGACCTTTAGGGAGGGAGGGGGAGCGGGTACCTGAATTTGACAGGTACCCGCTCCCACTTCTGCGGAGTTCTCCTTTCTATACTGTGGGCACCCGACTTTGACAGCCAGGTGCCCACTGTTCATGCGCGAGAAGCGCTGCGCTTTGTGAATAGCCCGGTGTCTTTTGGGACCTGTCATGTGTCCCAGAAGGCACCGGACCATTCACAAAGCTCAGCGCTTCTCGCGCATGTGCAGTGGGCACCCGGCTGTCACAGATGCCGGGGCGGGAAGAAGCCAGCGCGGGAAGACTACAGCGCTGGACCGAGGAACAGGTGAGATCCTGCCGCAAAGAACAGCTGGCCCGGTATTCTGACATGGTGGCGGCGGAAATACCGGACCGGCCGCTTTATATTCGCTCCATAAGACGCACTGACATTTTCCCCCTTTTTTCTGGGGGGGGGGGGGAGTGTGTCTTATGGAGCGAAAAATACGGTATATATTTCCATTTTTTTACAGTTTCAAAGTATTTCCCAGTTAACATACCAGAATGTGTTGTGATTGAGGGAGGGATCAAGAACACCCAGAAAACCCTCTTAAAAACATGGTGACCAAATATTTTCAGATAGTGTCTCTGCATGCAATTAAACCCAAAAATGACATCATAGGTAGACCTCAACTATGAGAGACAAAATGAGAAAAAAAATCCAGACAATCACATTGGCTGATTTGGAAAGAATTTATTTGCAAATTATGGTGGAAAATAAGTATTTGGTCAATATCAAAAGTTAATCTCAATACTTTGTTATATATCCTTTGTTGGCAATGACAGAGGTCAAACGTTTCCTGTAAGTCTTCACAAGGTTGGCACACACTGTTGCTGGTATGTTGGCCCATTCCTCCATGCAGATCTCCTCTAGAGCAGTGATGTTTTGGGGCTGTCGCTGGGCAACACGGACTTTCAACTCCCTCCAAAGGTTTTCTATGGGGTTGAGATCTGGAGACTGGCTAGGCCACTCCAGGACCTTGAAATGCTTCTTACGAAGCCATTCCTTCATTGCCCGGGCAGTATGTTTGGGATCATTGTCATGTTGGAAGACCCAGCCACGTTTCACCTTCAATGCCCTTGCTGATGGAAGGAGGTTTGCACTCAAAATCTCACGATACATGGCCCCATTCATTCTGTCCTGTACATGGATCAGTCGTCCTGGTCCCTTTGCGGAGAAACAGCCCCAAAGCATGATGTTGCCACCCCCATGCTTCACAGTAGGTATGGTGTTCTTTGGATGCAACTCAGCACTCTCTCTCCTCCAAACACGACGAGTTGTGTTTCTACCAAACAGTTCTATTTTGGTTTCATCTGACCATATGACATTCTCCCAATCCTCTTCTGGATCATCCAAATGCTCTCTAGCAAACTTCAGACGGGCCCGGACATGTACTGGCTTAAGCAGGGGGACACGTCTGGCACTGCAGGATCTGAGTCCCTGGCAGCGTAGTATGTTACTGATGGTAGCCTTTGTTATGTTGGTCCCAGCTCTCTGCAGGTCATTCACTAGGTCCCCCCGTGTGGTCCTGGGATTTTTGCTCACCGTTCTTGTGATCATTTTGACCCCACGGGGTGAGATCTTGTGTGGAGCCCCAGATCGAGGGAGATTATCAGTGGTCTTGTATGTCTTCCATTTTCTAATTATTGCTCCCACAGTTGATTTGTTCACACCAAGCTGCTTGCCTATTGCAGATTCAGTCTTCCCAGCCTGGTGCAGGTCTACAATTTTGTTTCTGGTGTCCTTCGACAGCTCTTTGGTCTTCACCACAGTGGAGTTTGGAGCGTGACTGTTTGAGGTTGTGGACAGGTGTCTTTTTATACTGATAACAAGTTCAAACAGGTGCCATTGATACAGGTAATGAGTGCAAGACAGAGGAGCCTCTTAAAGAAGAAGGTACAGGTCTGTGAGAGCCAGAAATCTTGCTTGTTTGTAGGTGACCAAATACTTATTTTCCACCATAATTTGCAATTAAATTCTTTCCAAATCAGCCAATGTGATTGTCTGGATTTTTTTTCTCATTTTGTCTCTCATAGTTAAGGTCTACCTATGATGCCAATTACAGGCCTCTCTCATCTTTTTAAGTGGGAGAACTTGCACAATTGGTGGCTGACTAAATACTTTTTTGCCCCACTGTATATGAGATTATTGAACATCCAATACCAAAGCTAATGTAGTCTTCTGGGAATGCTTTCCACAAGATTTTCAAGTATGTTTGTAGGAATTTGTATCTATTCAACCAAAATAGCATTTGCGAGGTTCAGTACTGCTGATGGCTTGGAAGCAGTATTACATTTCTCCACAAAGTTGTTGAGTAGGGTTGAGGTCTACACCAAACTGGTCAAGACGTATCTTTACATATTTGGCTTCCTGGAACACAAAAGGGTCTTCTCCAGTCTATTACCACAAGTTAGAAGAACATATTTGTCTAAAATGTCTTTGTATGCTGTAGCATTAATAGTACCCTTTGTGATAAACATCTTAATTCAAAAACTTGGCCATATAGTAATATAGGAATTAGCCATATATTGTACATGTGATGGTCAGGTATCAGCAAAAATGTAGACATACAGTACATGGTGGAATTTTATCAAACCTGGAGCAGACAGAGTCTGGATCAGCTGTGAATGGCAATCATTCAGCTTCTATTTTAAGCTTGTTCAGTTAAAGTGTTTTTAAAAGCTCAAAGTTAATTACCATCATGCATTATATGCATGAAGGTAAAAGACTTTCTGTATGCAGCAGCCACCCTTATACTTAACTCAGCCTCATCATGATCCAGCAATGTCCATGAGAGCCTTGGCTGTCAATCCTGGCCAATAAGCTAATGATGAGTGAGAGAGGGCAGGGCTGAGCTGCGGCTCTGTGTGCAACTGCTCATGAGTGAGCCTGCTTGGGTGCCCCCAGAGCAAGGTGCTTGCTCTGGGGGCACCTGGAAGGAGGGAGGGGCCAGGCATGCTGGCCGGGGACCTGAGAAGAGGAGGATCAGGGCTGTTCTGTGCAAAACCACTGCACAGAGCAGGTAAGTATAACATGTTTTTTATTTTTGTTAAAGAATTGCCTTTAATATCACTGTAAGTTTTGAAAATTAACATTAGAGTATCCCCTTCATTGCCTCTAATGCAGAGGAGGAGTGCTCTGTAATATTGATTCTATATGGTTGCAATAAAAAGGAGGAACATAGTTTGCAACCTCTACGATAGGGACAGGACTGAGAGTGCAACCAGTAGCAATAGAAACAGGGAATGTAATATGGACTTTTCCAGCTTTTTTTGGTCTTGCCACAAATGCAAAACATGGCCATTAGATCCTACTGTTTAAATCTACACATGCTTGCAAGTGTATTGTACTAGACAAAGCAGCTGCCTAAAATATAAACTTTTCACAGTTTCTTATACTTACCTACTGTATATGGTGCTACTTGAAATAAAAGTAGTCATATCTTGTTTGCTTATTTTATAAGACAAATACGTACACCAGCATTGCTTATTCAGAAATGACCAATTGTGCTATCTAATGTGTACATTTTCTGCTCATTTTACCTGTAACATTACCCCTTAACATGCATGTGGTATACTGTGTATAAAATCAATTAGTAGTATTCTTGTTCACCCAGCATTTGTGATCCTGTGGGTGTGATACTGTAGGCTTCTGTTAGACAAAGTGTGACTGTACAATGAACATTAAAAATAGAGTAAGCATATTGTACAGGATTATGGGCAGACAAGAAAATATATTAAAATACAGAACATCGGTGTAAACAAAATGTTCTGCCTCAGCCAGAACAGATAAATAAGCGTCACACAGAGCCACAGCAAGCAGAAGGGAAGCCAGCAGCAGGTGAGACCTAAACAGAATTCAGATTGGATAAATGGGAGCATTTTTGCAGTGATAGGGGTGCTATAAAGTGTATGTATTACTCAAAATGTTCTTCCTGTTACCCACCCCCCATTCCTTTGGAGTACTCCTGACTTCTTAAAAGACTCTATGTACATTTCTTTTTTCCAGGTCTTCAATCTGGTTCAGTGACATCACAGGTTCTCTTTCCCCCTTATTCCTGTGGAGGTTTGCATTTCCTAAATGTTGCAGCATTCACTTCAACATTCTATATTGTTGGTGGGTGGCAGAGTCTTGATGTCCCAAGCTTACAGAAAGCGGGCGGAATGGCACTGGGCATCATTCATCCTAGAAGAGGAGTGAAGCTGCATTGGTATATTGGTGAGTCTGCAATGAACAGCCTGGAGATCAGGTGAGTATGGCGGCTGTAGAGGCTTTTATTATTTTCATGAGCTGCGGGGAAACCATCAATTAATTTTTTTCACAGGATGGAACTGGAGTCTACTGCTTTTCCACTGCCCTATAGCAATACCCCTCGTGTAGTGTATTGTTACTGTCTTGTCTCATGTTATGTCCCCCTTGCTACTGTACAGCGCTGAGCATACCCTTTGGCGCTATATAAATACTGTACAATAATAATAATAGGGCAGCAGGGTGGGCAATATCATGTATATATATGTGATTTTGCATTTCCAGGTGGCGGGGCATGTGAGCCATGCGCATGCGCCTTACCCGCACCGCTATTCTCGGCAGTCAATCACCAGGTCCCGGATGGTGATTACCAGCCGGCGCTCGGTGATTACCGAGCATCTCCAACTGGGAGGAGGTCTGTTTTTGGGCACACAGCACAGCCATCCAGAGGAGTGTGATTACAGTGAAGCACACAGACACCGCCACCAGTAAAACACTCCGTGCACACAGTTAACCCTTTGATCGCCCCTCATGTTAACCCCTTCCTGCCCAGTGCCATTAGTACAGTGTCAGTGCTTTTTATTTTTTTTTAGCACTGATCATTGTATTGGTGTCACTGGGGATATCTGTGACACCAAGTCAGTTCCTCCCTGTGTCAAAATGTCCCGCTATAAATTGCTGATAGCCAATATTGATTCCAATATCTATACCACCATTTGTAAACGCTATAACATTCACGTAAATCAATTAATTTACACGTATTGGGTTTTTTTTTTTAGCAAAGACATGATGAAATTTGATTTTTTAAATTTTTTTACTGGACATGTTTAATAGCAAAAAGTCAAAAATATTGTTTTTTTTTCTGAAA